AATTGGAAGGCAAAAGGAATACTGTTTTTACAACATCCTGGACATACAGTGTTTCATGGTTGTGTTGCTATCTCCTATAAATTCATGAAGAAAGTTCTAGTTGTACTTTATACACTGGTTTCTTTCATTTGTCTTGTTTTTTTTATTTTTTTTTTTAGAAGAGCTTTTTTTACCCTTCATTATGGCTCCCAAGTCAGACTCTTGTGACTCTGATGGTTTAATGTCTTAGGTTATGATGTTACTGATGTTTAGGGCTGCATTTCAGTTACTGGAGTTTGGTCAAAACTGATGGAACCATAAATACAGAAAAAATGCATATTAATACTGTACAAAGTGCAGTGACATCCACACCTCTGACCTCAGTCTCCTCTGATCCATCTGGACCTGGACCAGAATTAACCATTAAAAATGTATACAAAATATTGCTTGATAATAATATATAATAATCTTAATTCACCCTCTAGCTCCAATTGACCTTTATCAATTGGATGCACTTAATAAAAAAGATTGGAAAATGACCAACATCAAAAATATCAAAACATGAAAAAAACATTTGATGCTTGTACAGTTTTTTTTTTAACCAGGCAGGGTCATAACAAGTAATTCTGATACCAACAGATTGTTTCAAAACCAAAACACAAATTGACTTTCAAATTGGATAAAATACTTAAATAAAATGACCAGTTGTTCTTTGTTTACTTTACTCGACTCAACAGTTTTTATATTTGAACTGCACATTGATGGAAAAGTAACAACAGAGTGAAGCGGTGTTTTTGGTTCGGACTCTCATTTCATTAAATCTGTGTATCCTGTGAAGTCTGGAAAAAAATGCAGTCAAAGTAACCGAGAAACACGAAAAGGGAGTGCAGGCAGAAGTAAATTCCTGTGTCTGTCTGTCTGAATCAGTCGGCAGGGTGTGCTGTGCCATCCCCCTCGTTTTCTGGTCAAAAGCAGCAGGGAAATGGCACATGTGCCACTGTGTCTGTGAAGTGTGCATGCCTCACGCATTGTTGCAGCGTGGGTATCACGCCATGCCGCTGTGTGCCTCCTCAAACACACCTGCTCCTGACGCCTCAGAGAAAAAGCTTAGCTGCGGTTAATCACACGATCAACCGCCACGCTGCGGAAAAAACAGCACCAGGGTCCATAATAGGCTGGACTTGGGAGATCCCTCCACCCCTCCAGCACTCACCCCCCCTCCCACTCCCCCAGTTGGCCTTGTGAATTATACATTTTCAACAACAAAGAAATGCCGGAATAGGAAATAAGCCTTAATTGAGATATAAAACTCAAACAGTATGAAGGTATAAAACATAAGAGATGCTGTCAAAGGTTGTTGCCATGGAAACACACAATCTGTTTTGTTCAGACACTTCATACAAGGGCAGCTGAGTCAATTGTGTTGGGAGTCATTTGGTGTTTTTTTAGAGTTTAAATAAACTCACACAGACCTTTGTGACAAAATGAACCTTTAAGATTCATTAAAGGTGTATTTTCTCCTGACAAATGATCAAAGAGTAGTCAAGTGGAGAGAGCATGCTGATGGAGAACTCCATTTGATCAGTGAAAGCAAATAAGTCAGGAATAATAATCAAAAACCTCACTTTGATGCTTCAAATGTTCTACTTTTCAATGTTTTTCTTCTACTCGTGGTTCAACAGTGTAGCTTTGTGATGTCTTTATTGACACAGTTCTTCATCAGTGTCTTTTTGTGTTGCACAGAAAGAGGAAAGAGAATAAATGAGGGCAGAACGGGGTCTTAAGGCCTCCGGGGTCATGTTGGGTGCACAATGCCCCTTTGACCAAGGAGGGCAGGCTGGTGATGTCATAGCTGGCAGAAAAGACAAGCCCACTGAGGTCTTTGTGATTCAGACACAGTGGAGGGTCAATACCACTGTTGAATGGAAGACGTGGGGGCAGCTCTGCTGAACACGGCTATAGGAAAGCTGTCAGTCAGTCATGCCAGTTATTGTTGGGGAGGAATCAGACTTGAAAGTGATATGGTGCTGGCACTTTGACTTTATTGGAATTCTAACAGTGAGGGACAAACATTTGTGACAAAAAGTGGGAATCATTATTGTATGTACATATGTATTTTATTTACAGTTTACTTTCCCAAAAACCTGAAACGTAGATTTAGATTAACCCAACCCTGATATAGCCGCAGGAATTGAAGAAAGACTCACTAAAAGTAAATCATTGTTCTGCCCGTCACTGCCTCATAATCCTCATCATCATGTTTAATAATACTGCAGCATCAAAACATTTTTTGTGACCTTAGATATTCACAAATTCAGCATTATTATGAACAGAGTTACTTTCTCCAGGTTTCTGGTCAGGTCCTTGACCAGGCAGCTGAAGAACGAGATTTTTCTTTTTCTAGTTTTGTAAGCACAGATGCATTTCCGATCCAGGAGCAATGGCAGGATTGGACCAAATGGTGAACTTCCACTAAACTTCAGTATTCCAAATTCTCTTCATGACCTTCTACAGCAGTTTATGTGGACATTTCAGAATCTCTCTCCAGTAGAGGGTGACATGTGTATATCCACTGCAGTACATTTGATAAGGCTCAGTTAGCTGTAGCTGCAGGTGAATCCAGTACTGTATATACATCCACTCATCATAGTCATCTGCTACAGTTTTCTACTGCATTTGATCCAAACAAAGACACACCGACTCTTTCAGCTGTGGTATTTGCCAGAATGTCATTGGCACCACGCAGTTTCATCGATCGGACGCCATTTCCATGTAGAATGTAATCGAAAGGCAGAGAAAGGATTCTTTTCAGAGCCGGGGGCTCGACTGTGTCGTGTAAACACACCGAGAGAGGCTCCTTTCATTAGCTATGCTAATCTGCGGTGCACATGACCTGCTGCAGACTCCAGGCTCCCTGTTGGCTCCACTGCTCTCAGTTTCTGTCATCGGAGGCCACTTGCCTTTCACTTCCTTACTGGTTCATTGGGTGAAGTTGCGTTTGTTGTGCTCCACATTTCTCCTATAGGTGGACTGACAGAGGTTGGTGAAAGGCTTAACCCAGACTGGCAGCTTTTGTTAGACGTTCATTCTGTCTTCTGTATCACAGCTATGGATCCCTGCCAAATGTAAAAACCCATTTATTTATTTCCCTGCCAAGAGTTAGATAAATAGACTGATGCCTCATGTGCAGCATGATAAATGAACGTGACTGTAGCTAGCACTAGACCAGAGGCTGCTTAATTTAGCCTTTAGCACAAAGACTGGAGACGCTGCTATACTGCTGCACTAATTGAATGCTACGGTTTGCTTAATTAAAGACTACTTCAAAATACAATTACCGATTTTATTGTGACTTATCTGCTGGGAGCTATCCTGACACAGTGGGTACAAAAAAAACAATAAAAAAACAAAACAAAGTCACCTCAAAGTCCAAATATAAATGAATGCTAAAAGCAGGGGCATTAACCACATCATCTAGTTTTATATCACTCATTCAGTTTCTACTGCTTAATCCTTTTTTAAGCTTGTGGGAGACAATCATATAGAGAAAGATTCATAAATACGGTCTGTTAACGTCGTCCAATTAACCTAATATTCAATCTGAGTGGAGGTAGTTTAGATTTGAAACAACGAGCTGGAAATCTTTTGGCTTAAAATCAAGAGAGCTTACCACTGCTGCCACCTGGTGGTTTATAACTTGGCCTAATTTTGGTTGATTGCAGCTGATAGCATCCGCATAGCATTGAGTAAAAGGAAATGTGTCTGTCGCTCTTGTCTTAGCCACCATTTAGCGTTTCTACCAGAAATTTCAAAGTAGCGTCTTTTACTCAAGAGAGCCTCCTCCAGTTCAAGAGCTTTATTACATTTTATTAAGTTTTTATTTTCATGGTATGCCGACATTTTCACAAAGTTTGCAGATCTGGACATTTTTTCCGTTTATGATTGATCTAGCTTTTGAGGTACCAGAAAAGTTTCAATGTCTTGAAGTTTGTCCAAAACCCAATAGCCTGCGTTTAATTACATTAGTCTTTTAACAGCATATTTATATGCGACCTAATGAACCCCAAAGTACCTCAGAAGGAGTCGTTGGGGATATTCAAAATTTGGCAACCTTAAAATAAAATCATTGGGTTTCAGAACCACACTTCAAAACCCCCGGCCTATCCCTTTATTTAGGACAGCTGTGGGATTTATTAAAGTTTTGGCAGTGAGAAAAGAAGACTGTTTATCTTAAGGAGCTTTTCAACTTTTGGTGCCATGCTGTTTCATGTAATTAAGTGTTTGACAAACTGTTCTTTTTCCTACTGATACTGAGAGAAAAATAGATCTTTTCTTTTAGGTCTTGGTGTTTGTATGAATTTCAACCAGTATCTTTAAATCACAGTGAACGAACTCGATTCCCTGGCTGTCTGTTAGCGTGTAATTACTACATGTTGGACGAGTCATTTACCAAGGGAAGATGAGGAGGAGAAATGAGTCGTCTTTATCAATTAATGTGATGTTGGAGCCAATAAGGTATATCTGTGAGGTATTCACTAACATCTCTTCCAGCCATGAAGCGATGGTTTGAAACCGCCGTTAAGCCCTTCCCTTCTTCTTTTTAATGAAGCCGGCGATTAAAAGTGGTGTTTCTTACACTTGTAATTATTTCTTTATTGATTCGTCAGCATCTTAGGGAACGGTTCTCCACATAAAATATTTCCACGGCTATGATAACTCGCCTCAATTGCAATCATGAGAGAAAATCATTACATGTAAGACTCCCTGGGGGGAGTTGTGGAAAGTGATGTGTTAATGTCAGGCTCCAAATACATCAACGTAAGATGAGCGGGCAAATACGTGAACGGGACTACTGGTGTGTATGTACGTGTGTGTGTGTGTGTGTTTTGGTAGTTTTTGGGCGTTTTACAAAACATTCATCCCGGCCGACAATGTCTCTTGTCTTGTTGGGACAAGGAGCCACTTGATCTCATTTACAAGCAGTGACTGATGACTTCTTCTCCCTTTTTTGTCTTTTTCAGGCCGTGAGTACAGGGAGGGAAGATGAGACCTCCAAGCCCTCTGCTGATCCTGCTGTACATCACGCTGTCCAGAAGTGTGAAGGTGGTCTCTAAGAGAGGCTCAGGTATTTAACAGCATGCATCCTCCAATGCGTTTTCTGCACACACATCCACTCTGTAGTCGCTGCCTTCGAACTATATTTCCCCGGCGTCCTATTTGAACAGATTTAGCGTGCAGACGGCTGTTTCTGTTTGTAGTGGTAACAAAAGGACGTAGCTGGATTCCTCTTCTAATGCGTCTTTTATGCACAGAGCTCTTGTGTACAAACTTAACCCAGGAATGGCAGGGTTGAAGGACTTAATAGGGTAAAATTCAAAATTGGCATTGCAGCAGAGCATTCTGGGACATTGGATCAACCAGAACTCAAACCCTTTAAAGAAGAGTTGTGGGGCTACATAAAAAAGGTGAAAAGAGTCAGTATGGCAACAAGAGTTAAATGAGCTGTTTACAAGATAGTAGTGAGACCTGCTGTGACGGAGGGTTCTCAGGCGCTGTCTAACCAGCAGGGGGCCAGGCTGGATGTGGCAGGGTTGAAGATGCCGTGGGCACTGAGAGACACAAGGCGTCTCGAGGTTTGGACTTGGCTGAGGGAGAGATGGTGGGTATATCAACTGAGGTCTGTTAAAGATGGAGCTGTCAGACTGCAGGAAAATAAGACGAGCCCAGAGATGATACAGTAAAGAGCTACATGATACATGAAATTAGTCGAGATCTTCGACGTAGAGGAATAATCCCAACCCTCGTGCAGGACCTAGATTCACATGGTCTCCAGGATGTTCTACCATATTTAGTTATACCTACAACCAACTATACATACATGTCAGGTAGTTTACAGATATATAACAGCATCAGTAGAATTATATGTTTATAAAGCACTAAATTAACTATAAAGTGATTACTAAATGGTACACACCCCACCTACTCAGAGACCATGAATTACAAAGGTAAGACCCCCGGCCCCTACAGATCTCATATTATCAATCTGCTCATAACCTAGAAGATCCTGGGGGTCAGGTGACATCAGAGAAGATCAATAGTCATAGTATGCAACATCTGTCTTCATAATGGACATGTCATAATGGATGACAACAGATGCTACATCTGGGCTCCCTCATCATGTCTAAAGTGAGAGGCAAGCGTGTCTTTTTTTTTCTCTCAGCTTCCATGATGGGTTTTACAGACATGTCTGAAGGAGATGATGAAAACGAGCAGAGAGGAAGACAAATTACGCCCCAGGATCGAATTATAAAACCAATGAGTTGTGGCACGAGTATCCTTGCTCTTTGATTCCTAACGTGACAGACAGA